CTAGAGGCACGACATAGCCACATAGCAACGGCCTCAACCACTGCCATTCAACCGGACCAGGAAAACCCTGTATGGAGCTACCGTCTTCACCATAGCAACGGCCTCAACCACTGCCATTCAACCGGACCAGGAAAACCCTGTATGGAGCTACCGTCTTCACCCGAATAGAACGCCCGGTCATTATCGCTGCATCTGCCCCAAAAGTTGTGCCAAATACAGCTATAATGACCAGGCGTTCTATTCCGGTGAAGACCGTAGTGAAGTTGTGATACATAGGGGCTCGCCACACCACTGTCGAAAACTCGATTTCCGATAGTTTCTCTTGGCCACAGCCGATCAAAATTGGAGACGAGCAGAAAATTCTCAAGTTGTCAGAGAATGTTTCTCGACACCTCCCCTCGTGTCGAAAGTTGTTGATTGAATCCCCCACCCAGCCTGCTGCTCCAAGACGCTTTCAACGGTCCCTCGGCTGCGCCATCGGTGATAAAAAGGACTGAATGGACAATGCGCTGTTAGTGGAATCTCAACAAGCAATGTACATCCTGATACATACAAAATGGCACCTTGTAGCGCAGTGGAAGACTTAGATAGAAGCCCTGACCTGACCGGGACTGACCTCTCTCACGTAGTACAAGACAGCGCAGCCGAATGCCAGAAAAAGCCTAGAATACCAATTACTAGCCCAATCAATGTCGCAATGCAGACCAAACATACAGCATCCTCATCACAAGGTGTGAAGGGGCCTGGCACTACACACAGGAAGAATGCGCCAGGTCCAGACCATACACAGACGAAGAGGAGGGGATCAGACGAAGAAGAGGGGGAAGAGGGGAATGTCGTCAACACCAAGTCTTCGGTACAAGTCCCAGATAATCCCTCGTCAAATGTCTGATGCCCAATGCCGAGTCTGGATCCCAGATAATCCCTCGTCAAATGTCTGAAGCCCAATGTCGAGTCTGGATCCAAATGTCACCAATCCCTCTCTCGTAGTCTGTTGATGCAGTGAAGTCAGGTAGCGAGAGGGTGAGGGGGAGATGGTGGACTAAGAAGAGGAAGAAGAAGAACTCTCTCTCTCTCTCTCTCTCTCTCTCTCTCTCTCTCTCTCTCTCTCTCTCTCTCTCATGTGCCAGGTACTAACCTGTGAAGATGGCGCTGTGCTACAGGTACCTCGACGACGAGCTGGAGTTATGGCACTGCAGGTAAGTCTTCCTGGCCTCCGCGCAATCTCTCTCTCTCTCCAGTGCTACTCTAGCTCCTAATAACGTCCAGCGCTGAAGACTACTGCTAACGCTACTACTACTACTGCAGCGCTCCTCCAGAGTGCTGCTGCCGAATCCTGAAGACTACCTCCTGCCTCCTGAACTGCACGTGAAGTGCCTGGGAAGTCCCTATGAACTACCTGCAGCCTGCAGGGCGGGCCAGTCTTATATAGTGCTGGCCCGTCCAGGAGGCAGCTCTTGCCAATGCCAAAACGTGCCAGACCCTGGTGTTGAAGCTCAAACCAAGGTTGTCTTGAAAACAGGCCCAAAATGGCATGTGCTAAAACCCTAGTCTGGTGCCTAAGTTTCAGGGCAGGTCGATCTTATGAGGGCCTGAAAATGGGCCTCCGTTTCAGGCTGAAAAGACTCAGGGCCTGGAGGGCCCTGTTTTAGGCTGAAACGACACAGGGCCTGTAGGCCCTTGTTTTCAGGCTTTCAGGCTGAAACGACACACGGCCTGTAGGCCCTTGTTTTCAGGCTTTCAGGCTGAAACGACCCAGGGCCTGAAAATGGCCCTCGTTTTCAGGCGCAGCATGTAACAGGGGCGTTCGTCTTTTTCCATCTTGCATTCACAAGTTCGTCCATTCTATGTGTGGCCGAAGGGGGGCAAACTGTCGAAGGGAGGCTTTCAAATTTATTCTGACAGCCGTCTTTTTTTTTTGGCTTTCGACAGTGGTGTGGTGAGCCCCATATCGTCATAGAGAATTGTGCGTTGAACCATAGGCAGAGAGGGAGAAGAGGACCACAAACGAGGGGTTGTGACAGACTGTTTCATTGGAGTTCACCTACGTATCAGGAGGCTGAGCCCTTTACAGAATCCCTACAACGACTGCATTTTTTTTTTTATTTTTTTTTTTCTAAATGCGCTTGGAGAGTGCCGAACTCTATGCCAAATTGATCTAGATTCAGCAGCCAGGACCACTTTTTTTCTTTTTTTCTTTTTTTCTTTTTTTCTTTTTTTCTTTTTTTCTTTTTTTCTTTCTTTTTTTCTTTTTTTTTTCCAAATGCGCTTACGAGACAGAATGACGAAAGTCAAAAGCAGACTATCGCTCAGGCACACTAGATAGAACTCTACGCACTGCAGGTTCACACTCCATCATAAGCCAACAAAAATTCCCAGGGAACAAGAAAGAGAAGGTATGTCACAGCCAGAAAATACACTGCAGACATACCTCTAGCACTAAAGAGGCACGGCATGGCCGCGTAGTGCTACCTTCTTCACCCGAATACAACTTACAGTCATTAGTGCTGCATCTAGACTCAAAGTTGCCCCAAATACAGCTATAATGACCGTACGTTGTAGTCGGGTGAAGTAGGTAGCCCTGACCACTGCCATTCAACTTGACTGGAAAAAGCCGTAGCAGAGAGCTAGCGAAGCCGTGGTATATAGAGAACTGCTCGATGAACCATAGGTGGAGAGTCGAGACGGAGAAGGGGACAATGAATGAGAGGCTGTGACAGACTGATTCGCCGGAGTTTCACTGCCTCATTAGGAGGCTGAACCATCTTAACGTCTGCAGAATCCCCTAACCAATGCTACTATAAATGATAATCCACGTTAACCGCAGTTGTGGTTAAGCATCAAAGACTGCCTGCCAATCGATACCCTGTGAGGACTGATTTCTAAATCTGCTTAGAGAGTGCCAAAACAGGTCCAGATCCAGGAGCCAGGTGTGTTCGCCCTCCAGTAGTCTTCACTTATCAGGGCCTCTTAAAGTCCGCAAAGTCCCTTAACCATTGATACTACAAGCATCAAAGACTGCCTGCCAATTAATTCCCTGTGAAGACTGATTTCTAAATCTGCTTAGAGAGCGCTAAACTCTACGCCAAACAGGTCCAGATCCAGGAGCCAGGTGTATTCACCCTCCAGTAGTCTTCACTTCTCCGGGCTAGGTGCTCAACACCCACCCCCGCCACTTGTTTGCAGACATTGTACTCCACCCCCACCATGCCTTGGGCCCAAAGAGTAATGCCTTGGGCCCAAGAGCTAGCTACTCCACCCCCACCATGCCTTGGGCCCAACGAATAATGCTTTGGGCCCAAGAGTGCGGCACTCCATGCCCACCATGCCTTGGGCCCAAGAGTTAGGTACTCCACCCCCACCATGCCTTGGGCCCAAGGAGTACCCAAGAGCATGCAGCAGGAGACCATGTATCACTTTTCTCCTCCAGGCGCAGATCTGTAGGTCATTACTTTCTGAAGTTTCTGGCCTCCTATCCATCACCACAAGAGTCAACTCTCTTGACCACTACAGCCATGACACAGTGTACAAAAGTGGAACCATATCAGTCACGAATCATGACGATATCCACCCCACCCCAGCATGCCTGTAGTGTTTTTACGCACATACACGCAACGCTACAAAAGCAGTTCGCGCACACATCGCTCCACTCAAGCACATGACCCTCATCCACATGGGCGCTTCGCCCCACAGGCCACCACATTCCTGCTATTATTGCGAGGCTGGTTACCAGGCTGAGTTCAATCAGTACTTTACTACTTTCTCACCCCAGATTGATCCATGCAAGCATGAAATCGAACTGGCACCCTTCGCCACAACAGCCAAGTCTCTTAACCACCACGCCGCGACCACAGCAATGACACGGTGCACAATCATTAATGCTTAAACCATACCGGTCCTGATATGCACCGCACCCTTGCATGGCTGCAGTGTCCTCACACACACACACACACACACACACACACACTGATATGCACCGCACCCTTGCATGGCTGCAGTGTCCTCGCACACACACACACACACACACACACACACACACACACACACACACACACACACACAATGCCACACAGGCATTTCTCACACTTCGCCCCATTCCAGCACATGAAGCTCGTTCACACGGGGGCTTCACCCCACAGACCTCCAAGTTTGTGGAGTTGGGTCCTCAGCAAGAAACTACCCCTCGTGAACGAAGGCAATAAATACTCCACCAAAGCCTGTTGTTGCTCAGGTCCCATCAGACACCAACATTTTGCCACTGACAGCAAGCCCAAACGGTTCACCATACTCCTTCCACCACTCCTTCAAGTGGAAAATGGTTAGGAAGAAACTTCAAGAAAGGGTAAAGCAAGTTTGTGAAGAAAGGATGATGCACATTAATGGATACCTTTTTTTCCCCACAGTTGCCCATCGCTGGAAAAACTCATGCCTGTAGATTAGAAGCTGATACTTCCAGCAGTTCACGCTTTCTGGAGTCCACAGCACCGCATGTAAGGTACATGGTCCTAAGTTTTTTGCATATCTTTTTTTTTTTTTTTGTGTGTGTKTGTWTGTGTGTGTGKGKGGGGGGGGGGGGGGGKCCGATAGACCACGGGGCAGATATTAAACTGATCAGAACAGATACTACACTTGATCTATTTTTAACTTTTTATCCAAACAGCGAAGAAGGATATTGAGTTTTTATCGAGTTTTTGTGCAACGTTTTGAACATCTCTACTACCAGAAGAACCAGAGAAGCATGTTCGTTCGCACAAGCACAGGCAAGGGAAGTTCTGAAAATGGCCGTAACTGCCACCTGACCACAAAGGTCTGCAAGGTAGATAGATAGATAGATAGATAGATAGAGAGAGAGAGAGAGAGAGAGAGAGAGAGAGAGAGAGAGAGAGAGAGAGAGAGAGAGAGAGAGAAGCAGATAAAAGTAGAACAGCAACAGGGAAAGCGAGGTCCAACACAGATGCATAATGGTCATCAGCATCACATTCGGCAGTAATGCCTACACATGTGTATTGACATCTTTATCCACATTTCTCTCCTCGGTGCCTGCTCCTAGTACAGAAATGACTGACTCTGCATCATTCTCGATTCAGCTGGCTACAAAATTGCCCTGCTTTGCAGAAATGTTGTTCTATAATCTACAAGAAGATGGCTTTCCCATTACCGATTGATTAACTAGAAGTTTGAAGCAAATAGCAGAAATATCTCTGTACATTGGCACAGCGGTGCCTGAGTCGAGGCTATTTCGCTGCCACAACGCTAGTTGGCAGCATGACGCGACTACAGTTAAGAAGCAGCATACCCCCCAGATTAGGGAAAAGACGGCCTGAGGCAAGACACCGGCTCAGGCGGATGATGCTTCAACAACCTGACTTACTGTTTGTATGTGGGAAGAAAATTGCTATGGAATCTTATAACCAACATCTCAATCCTATTTGGCAGACTGGATATCTCTGTACATTTTCACAGCTATGCCCAATGGCACAAGCAGAGACTCTTAAAACCGTTGTGCAATGCCGCTGATGAACATCATGGCCAACCATCCTCAGCTCTGTGTGTCTGTACCATTGCCAGATGCAAGCAGGAGAAGCAAGGCGTCTAAATGCTTCAAATGCATCGCTTGGACGGATCTCTCTCCGTATTTCAACTGCCTTTCACTGTCTGTCTAAGAAGGCTCAAGGAACTGTGCTCTACCAAAGAACTACCTAGCAACATGAGGTAAGGGGACAAGCAGAGCGCCGGGATGTGGGACGGCCCTCCTCTGCTTCACAAATGGGAGACGTGACCCACCCTCACAGACAGGATGACAGTCCCTTGCATCAGAATAGATCGGCAGCCAGACTGAAGTACAAGGCCATGGAACCATTGATTGATCGATAGCCCACCGAGAAAAATTACAGTGAGAGCACAATCACTTTGGAGCTGCATTTTCCCCAGAGCTACCCATGTCATATCTCATCTCGCTCGAAGCACCTTACCAGGCAGGCACCAGTACCCCCTTTCGACGTAGACACAGACACCCAGTTTCATATGGAGAAATTTGAAGCGAAGGCATGGGCGCGGCTGAAGATAACCAACTGCAACTGCCTCTATTCCACAAGGCAGTCATGGCCTCAAGTATGCACGCACTAGGGAAACAACGAAACATAAATTATATAAATCATAAATGCTACCGAGCAGTAGCAAACCTATTAACACAGTCCTACATCGAAGAGCTAGGTTACTTTCACTTCGTCAGTGCGACAACGCTTGGCCGGATCTCTGCGGCAAGGACGACCGTCGACGAGGACCTCCGCCCCCTCCTTCGCCCTGCTCGAAATCTCCCATCTGCTCCTCTAGGGAAATCCTCTCTCTTCCCAGAGCTTTGCTGTTCCCTGCTCCCTCCACACTCCCTCTCCTGCCAACCCTCGTTCCCATTATCCCTCTTTTCATGCACCATCACTGTGACAGACTGGTATATTTCTACTCGTTGTGGCAAACCAGAACCGTCCCCCTGAGAAGGCACCGCTCTACGTGGACCAACCGTCTGAAACACCGACCTGCAGTCTCCTGTTTCTCGTCCCTCTGACGACCGATGAACCTGTTGGCTTTTCCAACTAAATGATTTGTCTTGTCCAACATGACAGCTTGAAGCAAACCCGACTGCCGACATTAGAGTGTCACCCGTCACGGCTACACGCACGGGACGTGGTCTCAGGACCCCATTCTGTGAGCTGTTCACACGACATGACCGGTCTTGGCCAACATCAGATTTTCCCTCATGGTGCACAGAAGACCATGAACCACCACAACTTTCCCCTCCGCCGGGCTGCCTTCTCTCCTGCTGAGTGGTGCAACCTCTGCTCTCACGTCTGCGATCCCCCTGTTCATGAGGGAGTGCAGACCTGCCACCCACGGCGGCAAACTCCCCTTCTTCAACCTCGCCATCCTCGTGCGATGCTCCGTCATCCCCCCTTAGGTTACTCCCAGGACACCGGTTGCCGTCTTCATTGTCCCCTCTCTCATCGCCGCCAGGTTTATTTGCCCCTGAGGCACATGGCACTTCCATATCCTTCGCTGATGGCTCCGTTCCCTTACCCGTTACCCTGTGATGACCTTGTTTCCATCGTCTGTGTTCAGTCCGGTCATTTACGCCATTGCTTTGAGGAGAGGGAGATTGGTCATGCACATCCAATGGCGAGTTCGAGCAACCTCCACTTGCTTCTCTAGACGAGCCTGCTGCCGGGACATGTGCCATCCTACCCTCCGCAGTCGCACACCTGCTCCTCATATGTGAGACCAAGGAACAATTCTGTCCGCTTCCATTGGCAACGAGTCCTGGTCCTGCATATCGCATGACTTTGTGAGAACACTCTCTCTCACACTGACCTGTACAGGAGACATCTGACACCCCTGAGACGCCAGTCTTCCCATCAGCTACACTGGACTCCATGCCATCACCATCTTCACTGGTCACACACCATCCTTCCCCACCGTCATATTTCCTCTTCGTCCCATACGTACTATCTAGACCCCCCGTCACACAGCCACTTTGTTGACCCTCATCACTCCCACTGCCTACCCTACCAGCCTCCCTCTTCACCTCTTGCTGAACTTTACGCTGGACAGCCTCTTCCACAGCAGTCCCCAGAGAGTTTCCACGGCTCTCTCGGTCACACACTGTGCCTTTCCGCACACCATCAAACACTTGGTCAGTCGTCAAGGCACTTTCACTCATTTTTGACAGTGCCGCCGCCTTCGCCACCTCTCCCTTGCCCCTCGCATTGGAAAAGGAAGAAAGTCTGTTGTCAGCTTCACACCCCTCGACAACCTCACCACCTCCTCGCCCTCCCTCAGCTGTTCCTCCCGTGCCAGAGCGTTCTTGCTGGAAAGACGGTAAGAATCCCCCATTTGCATGCCCAACACTTTTGTCCAGACTTTGGAGAACACCTCCCATTTCCTCACGGCATGACCGGTTCTGCTCGTTCGCATGTCCAGTTGTTAACATCAGTTGTGAAGAGACCGCCTTGCCACTGCCATCGCGCACGCTCACCACTGCCGCCAGGTTTCTCTGCATGGGGCAGTTCCCCACCTCCTCCTCATCTGTTTCGTCCCCCTGGTGATCATGATGCTCAATCATGCCAACATTACTTTCCAGAGGTTCATCGGCGTGTCTCATAAGCTCGTTCTTGTCAGGGGATTGTCCATCACACTGCCTCCAGTCATGAACCTCCCCATCATATTCGGGCCCCCTCTTATCCCGACACCCTGTTTCTGAAGATGCCATCGTGCACACATCCTTTGCACAGTCTTCAGGGCCAGTTTGATTACGTTCACCAGAAGTTCGGCAATTACCGACGTTGTGCTGAGGATGCTCATTATCCCTGGGGCGATGGGGCGAGGACTCACAAGGAGATAAGCGAGAGTCAGCTGCAAGGCCTGGCTGATTGACAGAGCCTGCAGGACGCAAATTGTCCTCCTCCCGCTTCCCTCTGTCATCTCTGGTCGCGGACATGGCTTTTTCTGCCACGCCGCAAGCAGCAGCATCATGTGCTCGGCTCCCTGATCGGTGGGTGGTGGCATTCTTCTCATCTACACTCAAAACCTGTTTTGCTTCAGATTCTATTCCAGGATTGGATCCTTTATCAACAAAAGGCGTGCCTGAGGACACATCAGCCATGGTTCCATGCTGCCCCGGGGTGCTTTCTCCTATGTTGAAAGCACCCGTTGCATTTCCCTGTGCAGAGTTCCTCGAACATGCACCTCCTTCGGCGCTCCTTCGGCTACGGTCCCTGGAAGCCCGTGTGTCTTTCTGCCTGCCTTTGTCCCTCACACGAGACTTCTGGCCTCCCTCACCCCCACCACTATTCTGAGCTCCAGGTTCTGCACACCTGACACCAGCCTTAATGCGCACGGGAGCTCTCGCGTCACGACTGCCAATTGTCCTCGCCCGGGCATCATCCCTGACATCTGCCTGGGACGACTGTCCCTTCCTGCCATCGTTTGTGACCGCATCACCAGAGGCAATTCCAATTTCCTGGCCAGTCACCCTCATCGCACGCTCCTTCTCCTCTGCAGGAACAACCTTCAATTCCATGCTGTTCCCATCCCGCATCAGGACCAGTGGTGGTGGGCGCTTGAAAGGTGGTCGCTGTGGTTGTGTCATCGCTACAATTGGGAATGGGGGACCGGTTCCCCCGGCTGCCCATCCACCAGGCTGGCTTGCAGCATGTTCCTCCCTCGTGACCTGCCCATTGCTACATTCTGATGATGAATTGCACCTGTATGTCAGCATGCCCGAGGGGGCTGACCCAGCAGGGTTTCCAGAAAGAGCATCACTTGCACCATACATCGCCGCAGCTGCGCTAGCGCCAGGGTATGGCGGCACCCCAACACCAGCCGGTAGTCTACCCATACCAGGAGTAAACCACGAATTCATCATCATGGACGGATGCACGCTGCCAGCCATTCCAACCGCGGCTGCGGCTGCTGCAGCGGCAGCCGCTGCAGCAGCAGCAGCCTGCTGATAAGGCCCTGCCATCTGCAATGGCTGAAAGTGTGGATGGAATGCTGGTGGGTAACCCCCTGCTTGAGGGTACCACATTGCAATAGTGGGATCCATGCCATTAAAGGCGGCTAAGCCTGGTGGGTATGGGGCCCTGAAAGGGGAGCCCAGCGCACCAAACGAACTAGGACCGGCAGATGGACACAGACTTCCATTCATACTAACCATCCCAGCAGGTGCTGAAGCTGAAACACCAGCGAGAGTCATCCCACCATCCATGACCCCTGTATAAGGACCTGGAATGCTAAGACCCGAACCAGGACCTTGCATCATTACAGTGGGACCAGGCACACCCGATCCCATGTTAGTGCCTGCTGGCATTGGCAACGGTAGGTAGCCAGCCCCTGGAGCAAAAAGCCCTGGGAGGAACATTGGACCACCACCTGGACCTTCTGCCCAAGGACCGGGTGACATCAGCCCAGTGTCGCTTGGGCCCATTCCGACTCCAGGACCTGCACTGTGAATTCCAGAGTTCATCATTTGGGAGCTGACATTGTCAGATGAAACTGACACTGCACCAGCGCCGGAGTGTTGTGTCGAGGGCACCGAATATCCCACTATAGGAGTTGGCTTGAATGGCACAACTCCACCGGCCACGCCTGTGCGGTCATCTTCACCCGCTCCTGGCAGAATCTCTCTACATTGCTTTTCCTGGAGCAGAGCACCTCCTTCACTGCCACCAGTGACACGGTCTTTGCCGCTCCTTGGCCCTGATCCTGCCAATTGTCCTTGTGAACCTTCTTTTGCCAACACAGCAAGCCCACCTGGCCTGACACCACGCCGAGAGTTCTCGTCCGGCACTTCCACACCCTCATGCACATTCGGCCCGACCGGACCCACATGCTTATTAACCGGTGACTCGTGACGCATGACCTCATCACTCCCCCAGACAGAAGGTTCAGGGACACTCATGCTTTCATTAGCAGCAGGAGTGTCGTACGTATGTTGTGCCCTCCTCTTGGCTCCATCACCAAGCCCACTCGATTGCGTGCCGGCATTCCTCTGCATCATCCGCTGCTGCTCTCGTCTTTCGTGAGCAGAAACTCCTCCCTTTGGTCTCTTTCCATTGCAACTGCTCTGGTAAAGTCGTTGTGATGGCTCCTCCATTCCAGCTCCTCCATTGGCATGAGCTTCGGCACCCTCACACGAGCTCATTCTCGAGGTATCGTGGCGTGCTGTGCAGGTATCAAGCTGCCCACCAGTCTGCTCGGTCGCCGTGGTTGCCATCAAGTTACCCTCCCACAGCTTGCCAGGGAATGGGTCAGCCGTGCTTCCTCCACAATCATCATCTTGCGGCCTCCTCTTTCTCCCATACTTCCCCTGTGCATAACTGTTTGCTTCCCTTCCTCTCATCTCTCGCTGCTGGCTAATCTCCCGTTGCCTCCATCCACCTCGTAAATCATCGCCAGAGGCCACAGAAGATTTGCCAGCTGTAACACTATCGACCCAGTTACCGGGTCTAGTGCCATTTGCAGTTTCATTCCCTCTACCAGGAGGACTGACTTCTTCCGCCCTCGCACCAACCTCACTATATTTGTCCAACACCAGATGATTGCGTGAATCCACGTCATTTGGGAAGACACTCACGTTAGCATTCCCCAAGTCAGAGTCATCGGAATCTTCAGCAGGGGGACGTTCCAGATCTATTGTAGGTCTACGCTTCCTTCCGCCACTGCTCTGTTCAGGCACGGATGTGATTCCCTTGCTGATAGAATTGTCCCCCGCATGCAACACAATGTTTTTGCTCTTCTCCTCCATCGTATGTGCGCCTGACAGATCCCTTTTGTTAGCCTTTTGCAGCTCTCCTAGGACAGGTACAACCGCATCCGAGGCACACTCGGCCATCGCGCCCTTTCCTGCCAGCACTGATCTCACAACCATGTTGCTAGCTCGGGCCTCCTCGCCTATGGGACCCACTGATGCTGATTGCCCTGCAGTGCTGCTGTTATTCTGAGATACTGTGACCTCTAAGGCCATTAACTTTTTCTGCACTCTATACAACCGATGAAGCTCACGGACCTGGCCAGCACCACCAGCAATACAACAAGCACACACACAAATCCGTGAGTGTGGGCGCGCACACACACAAAGAAAGAGAGAGAGAGATCAGACTTGGCTCACCAACCCACATGTCAGCCAAAATAGCACTTGAACAATTCTATCCACCGGAGAAAGTGGAGAGTCCAGAGTCGCAAGATGCATATCAGTGCAGCGGTCATGATCTCTAAATGGGCCAGTTTAACGGGCCATGCCGAAGTGAGCACTAATTCTGACAAAGTAGAATAAACTGGCCTGCATTTCAACCTAGCTTTTCCGGTTATTGGACATATTGAGGAATCCATTTGTTAAAGGGGAAGAGAAGTTGGTGGACAGGCACAACCACGATGTTCGAAGTTAGTCGGCCGGCTAAGTTCATAGTTGAGCATTTGTTGTTTTTCGTTTTTGTCCAATCTCTCTCTCTCTCTCTCTCTCTCTCTCTCTCTCTCTCTCTCTCTCTCTCTCTCTCTCTCTCTCTTTTCTTCCTTCTTTTGGGAATATTAAACATATAAGGACAACAGTGCCAAAACAGTGCCTATATGGTTTGATGTATGATCCTAATACCTCACCATTTTGCTAGTGTGCGCCCATTACGTGTTTCAGCATTTTTTCATTGCTTTTTCATTCTTTTCCTGTCCTTCTCATTCGTTTCCCTGTCCCTCTCTCTTCTTTCTTCTTTCAGCAATGGTTTGATGCTACGATTTTGCTCAGTTCATAATGCTCAGCTTTGAGACAAGGGCATACTCCACAATTTAAGAAGCGGTTCAAGTCCGAAAGTGAGCACCAAAAAAAAAAAAAAAAAAAAAAACACCCTGAGCGCCCAAAAAAAGAAAAAACTACCAACCGGGGCGTTTTCTCTTTTGGCTGGCGCCACCAGCTATTTTGCTCTGCTGGTAGGTCGTGCTGCAAAAGTTGAGACCACATCGTTCGGGGCGCGTACTGGCGGTTTAACTAGAATAATAGATGAATGAATGAACAAGAATCAATGTCCAAATGATTCCCGTCTCCTTTTATTTTTGTTTGATTTTTGCTCTTTTTGCACATAATACTATGATAATAGTGTTATATCCTTATCCTCGCTGGCATTTTTTCCCCCTTTCTTCTTGTGCTGCTTTTTTCCCCCTTGCCGATCGCTATTCTCAGATACTTTCCGTTGGGGCGAGGTCCCACTAGCCTTCAGACATGACACTATTCTAGCCTCTGTGGAAAATGGAGGTGGTGTTTTGAAAATAAGAGAGAAAGGAAGAGGCAGAAGCCTACCAACTCCCCGAGCTCAGTTGGTACACCACTCAACTGTTGAACTACAAACTCGAGTTCAAACTCCACTGGAAGCAGCTGAGTGAAATACTCCAATTCTGAATAACCTTAGGGCCGGTCAGTTCGAAGATGATGATATCTCAGGCCCGTCGCCCTTTGTAGAAAAGAGAAAAAAAAAAGAAAAAAAAAGGAAGAGGCAGAAAGCCTCCCAGTGGTGGAATGTACAGCCACAACACCGCAAGTTCAGCGAAGGAAATATTTGGGGCTGACCACAGTGGTTAAGTTTGGAGCCAGCCACTCTTGTTACCGTGCAAGCAAACGAGATGCCGGATCGCGATCAATGGCATCTCTGAGCTGGACAGGCGACTGTGCATGCGAATGCGCTAGCCTTTTCACATGAAGATGAAAGCCTGCAGGCGACTGTGCATGCGAATGCACTAGCCTTTTCATATGAAGATGAAAGCCTGCTTTTTTCAACACTAGGAGTAACCCAAAGAGGCAGGAGTGTCATCTATGGTTGCAACTGTGCACCCTCTGATAAAAGCTTGTCAGGCGGCCACACTCCCTCGAGTACCACGTATGTCTCAACGCTACCACAATTTGGACTGGCCTAGAATCTACAGTTTCACGCTGGCTGTACGGGCCTATAATCCCAAAACAATGCCGGCGCTTTGAGAAAACATCAAAAGTAGTACCCCATTGCAAAAAGAGCACGGCACACCCAGGGCGTGGTCCCACTTAACCGGGGTTCTTCATTTCTGGCCGCTGATCATTGCAATCGACGGCCCGCAATGAAGAATCCAGATAAGTGGGCCCTACTCGCCGTGAGGATATCAGCCAGCTGTGATATCGAGATATTTGTTCTCGTTGCCAGCACAACCATATCAAAATGTCGACCCTAAAATTTTCACTCCCTAACAAATCTAAGCAGTTTCTGCCAGGCTGGTACACATCTAGAAAGCTTGTGAACACGTTGAGCATTTCTGCACTGCAGACGACTCCTAAAAGCAAAATGTGAAAACACCTCTTTGATGCGTCCTAGACACTCTACGACAATACCACCATTTGTCACAAAACTCGATTACATGGTGAAGCCAGATTGGCTGAAACTCAGGCTCAGGATTTTTCATCTTTTGTTCTCTGAATGAAAGCCTACTTTATGACTCTTCCTAGAAGAGCTATATCTCTAGGACTGTGTGCATTGATAAACCTGACTAGGACAAAGTTCCGACAAACTAATCACGTACATCCTTCTAGATCCTCAAGTATCTATCTAGATTTTTCTAAATGTACCTATAGAGACCCTATACCTGTACTGTTATTGGGAGGGGAGGAACGGTTGCAATGTCGGCTCAAAGGACACGTGCAAAGGCACAAAACCCCACCAACTTCATTTCACACTCAACACGAGTCATTGCATTGAAGTTTAAGCCACCAGTCCCTTTCCCATATGCCAGTCGCGGGCACTGCGCGCCGGCCCGACAATCAAGACTGGTTTATCGGCGGCCGCCCTTCCGTTTCAGGCCAGCACGTTACCCGGCGCGCATCTGAAAAAATAGCTGGGAAAGGTACTGGACTACTGGCGGTTTAAAAAAAGGCTTTGAGGCCCATCAAGCTCTGCCATCTCCTTCAGCGATTCACGACTCACAACGAGCAAACAAAAACGCACTATTCCTTTCTTCGTCCCAAATAAAAACAGTAAAATCCAGCCGTTTTCTGTGTGCCCTAAATTCTCCTCCTCATTCTCAGGGCCTCCCTCACTGCCGAATCAAGTAAAATAAAAGCAAAAAGTGAATCCTGCCCTCTAGAGATTATTTCCCAGAAAAAGGCACCGAATCTTTTGCCCTTCCATCTTTTCCCAGAAAGCCAACCACAAATATCTTCCTTTGCGCCCAGTTGTACTACTAAGGGCCTTGCTGTACTACTCGCCCCACCCTGATTTTCGCGAACAGAACTCGCACCTACGGAAAACTCACCTGAACACCTCAAAGCTGCACAAATTCACTGCATGTCTCCTCTGGGTGGGCATAAAACAACAAAACGGTTCAAGCCGACAGCCTGGGCTGAGAAAACCCACCCAAGGTGTGGCCGCTGGAAACGTCCCCCCACACATCACCCATTCCTGGGGGAAACAAATGGGCTGTGAGGTGAGTACTCTGTGCCCGAAGGGGGGTCCCCCCACACATCACCCATTCTGGGGGGGAACAAAAGGGCTGTGAGGTGAGTACTCTGTGCCCGGTTTTCAACTTGTTTCACATTGGAACAAAAGGGCTGTGAGGTGAGTACTCTGTGCCCGGGTTTTCAACTTATTTGAAGTTATTTCACATTGGGCTTTGCCAGAAAGGTGGGGTGACAAAATGCAGCAAGAAAGCACACGCCGAAACGTATGTGGGGTGAGAAGTGTCACCACATGTGGAAAAGACAAACTGCAGCGGGCGTATGTGTCCACATTCTAGCAGGAGATGCATTCTGCACATTCTGCTATTTCCAGGATCGGTGAGTAGTGCAGCAAGGAACTTCCTCACCAAATGTGTAAATGTGGAGTGTACCTTCAGCTAGAAGACGGAAAAACTGGCCTCTAAATGTGCAAAATGAGAACGAAACTCCCGCTAGAACATGCAAAGATAAATGGCCATATTTTTTGTATTTTGTGCATGTGGTGAGTAGCGGAGCAAGGCCCAATATCTTCGGTCGGCATTTCTTTTTTCGCATTTCTCAGATTGGAAGGGTGGTGGAGCCAGGGCCTTTCTTCTTCTTCTTCTTCTTCTTTGCCATTGTGGTCGTCGGCAGCAGCGCCGGCGGCATGGTCTGTTGTGGTCGTCGGCAGCGGCGCCGGCGGCATGGTCTTCTTCTTCCGCTCCAGGGAGTAGGTCTCACTTGCACGGATTATAGATAGTGACCGTGGATACGAAGATCGATGGCCGAAACCTCGTAATCCATGCAAGTGGGACCTTGCCCCAGGAAGCATACCTTCCCTTTGCTAGGCTGCCGCTGAGGGCGTACTCAGACTTGTACTTTTCTGAATGCCTCCAAGCCTTATTCGGGAGTCTTTACTCTGCTTGTGCTGTAAAACAACCACCACTCGTCGTCCTTCCCTTCTTCTGTCCCCATTTCAAACGACATACTAAACGGCCGTGGCCCATAGGGGACAACATGTTCTTTCCCATACAACGAAAGAAAACCAAAACAGAGTTTTCGACGGCTAACACACTTCGAACCTTTTTTTTTGTTTTTCAATGTTAAGAAGAAATCACTGTAGAGGTGTTCATCTGCTCTCAAGTTTTGTATTCAGAGACGTGTTCATCTCCCCTCTTTTCTTTTTCTTTCCTCTCAGGATATTCCTCTTTTGTTTTTCTTTCCTCTCAGGATATTCCTCTTTTCTTTTTCTTTCCTCTCAGGATATTCGTTAAACTTGGAATGATACACACAGAAGATGGACCCTGTGCAAGGATGACATGCATAAATCGAGAAATGGTTATAAAAACAAATGGCCTACCGGTAGCGCAGTCGGTACACCCACGAACTGTTGAAATACAGACGCAAACTCGAACACCGATGGAACTAGTCGAATGAATTTCTGAATTACCTGGGCCCAGTCAGTTGCACGATAATATCTTCCCCCCCCCCACCACCACGATATCTGAAGGCCATCGCCTTTTTTATAAAAATATAATAAGAAAACGAAAAGAAAGAATAGGCTCACACGTGGGTCAATTATATGTGAACCGTCCTGATAGGCTCCCTCTTACTCTCTGTTTTCCTTTTTCTTTTTTTCTTTTTTTCTTTTTTTTTTCGACCCGCTTCCGCAGGTGTGTGGGACTGACCTTCGGACACCGGTTCAAACTGAAACGTTAACGAGAATACTCTCTAACAGGCCCTAACAGGCCCTCTACATGTACCAGAACTTGCACAAATCCAGAAACAGGTGTTTGGCACTGTGCGACACTGTGCAACACTGTGTGGCACTGTGCAACACTGCATGTCACTGTGCGACACTGTGTGGCACTGTGTGGCACTGTGTGGTGTTTTTTTCTTTTTTTCTCCTGTGGGATAACATCATTTACGTTCTCAGTGATCGTTGTCGTGGAGCCAGCTTTTTTTTTTTTTTTTTTTTTAACAGTTGTCCACTGAGGGAGCTTCATATCGCCTCAGGGAGACGGGAGGATGAAGTTCTTTCTTCTTCTTCGATGAAAAATGAACTAAAAATCTGTTTGTTTTGGAATGAAAACGGAGGGAGGCGCAGGGGAAAGGGAAGAGGAGGGAAGGTGGAACGGAAGTGCCCAAGGGAATCCCTTTCACTTCTCTTTTTTTTTCTTTTTTTTTTTTTTTTTTTCTTTCTTTTTTTTTAGCAGCATTCATGTTTAATTAGCGATCGTACGTTCGTGCAATTCATCTTTTTTTTCTCGAGGTGTCATCTTCGAACAGGTAACGAGTTCGAATTTTTTGATAATAATAATAATAATAAAATCCCAAGAAATAAAATCCAGCCAGCCAGCCACCTGCCCGCTCGTCATCACCTGCTATCTCTACTCCCTTCGTTCTCTCTATTTTGGAACACGGGCAGAAAAAAAAAAAAAAAAAGTGGAGGGACGAAGAACTGCCCCCCCCCCTGGCCTACGGGCAAAATGGTTTTAAGTACCTGCTCTCTGAAGAGATGGTCCTGAGCAATCATGATCGTGCGTACGCGCGAAAACTCCGTCGGTTCCATATCTGAACCATCGCCAGCGGCACCCATAACTGAAGAAAAGACGAATTCGGACTGTCTTTCCTCGCCTTTGATGGTCAGTTTCATCAATTGCGGAAAACGCGCAGAGCGCTTCTCACCGGAAGAACCACGAAGAAATTCCTCCCAGCCATAGAGTCTATCCTTCCTCTCGGCTGCATGCTTTGCAGAAGCGATGCCATTCGTTCCTCTTCCCTGCCAATCACCGTCCGTCCACCACATACCACCCATCAAATGAGACAGAAAATATCGTTAGCTAACATTCTCTCTCTCTCTCTCTCTCTCTCTCTCTCTCTCTCTCTCTCTCTCTCTCTCTCTCTCCCNNNCACCGCATAGCACCCACCAAATGAAACAGAAAATATCGTTAGCTAACATTCTCTCTCTCTCTCTCTCTCTCTCCCTCTCTCTCTCTCTCTCTCCCTCTCTCTCTCTCTCTCACACACACACACACACACACACACACGCGCGCGCGAAAAAAGAAGCTAACCCACTTGAAAACAACCAGACCTTGCGACCAAGAGACGGCAGGGGAGAATTGCCAGCCAGCCAGCCAGCCAGCCAGCCAGCTGGCAGTCCGACATCAGCTATCTGGCCAGCACTGTAAGTCGAGAACCCGAAGTTTCGGTACTTCAGAAACAAGTTAGGAAAAAAAACGAGTTTCGTCCTTTCAACGTGGGCCCGACCGCGGGGGCTGCAGGCGTATAACCAGCAAGCAAGAACGTTTCTCTCTTCTTGATGAGAAACGAAAATTGAAACCGGTACTCTACCGGGGGTCTTTTCTCGGCTATACTTCCATCTATACCCACAGCCAGCGCCGGTCAATCACTACCGTAATACCGTGTTATTCACCCAAGCATGAACAATTACGACAAGAATATAAGGAAATACCCTCTCTACCTCTTCCTGCGTCTTACCCCAAACCCCCCTTTCACCTATTTCAGCACCCCTGCACCCCGGCAGCGAATCAACAAGGCAGACACTCCCAAAAAAACAACCGTGCCTTCTATTCGAGGGAAGAAGGTATAGCTTGCACGGCACTTTCGCAGGGAGATTATCGTCAGACAGGTAGCCAAGGAGGCGTGCGTTCCTCCGACGGTTCTTTGGGCATCGCCACAGCACTCTCGAAAAATCTGCAAAATGATAATGAACTTACCGCTAGAACATGGCCAGATGCAACCGCCACATTTGTCTTTTTCACATTTCGAGAGTGGTGTGGTGGCGAGGCCCTTTCTTTCTTTTTTTTCCCCCACCTCCGACGGTTCTTGATCCAACCAGAGAATCGGAAAAGCATAGTAAAAAAAAAAAAATCAACGCGCCTGAATGTTTACCCGTCCAGCTGTTGATAAACAGTCCTGCGTTCCAATCCTGCCCGAATTACACTCAAGTAAAATACTAATTCTGAACTACCTCGGGACGTCGCCCTATAAGGGAGGAGGGGGAGGAACACAAAGTGAAAAGACAAGCGTCCATAATACTCCATATCCGGGCACAAGTCTTCCGCAGATCTTTAAAATCCGGTCATCTTCTGCCTGCCAGGCTCTTTCTCCTCGCTCGAAAAGACCGCCACGATACCTCTCTCTCTCTCTCTCTCTCTCTCTCTCTCTCTCTCTCTCTCTCTCTCTCTCTCTCTCTCTCTCTCTTTCTCTCTCTCTCTCTCGTACGGCCCAAGAACGCCCTTAGCGAGCGAGCAGATGCCTACTTCAAAAGCAGTTAATGGCCCCTCTATATGCTGAGTTCTTTTTTCTTCAATTCTTATTTTCAGTCTCTTCATCCTAAACTCCATCTTCACTTCCCTTTTTTCAGTTTCTTTCATCTCTCCGGGCCTCGTTGCACAACTCACCATCCCCCAAGATTCTGAATGCATCCGGTGTCTAGATGCATTCAAATGCTGCCGGACAGCGAGTGGTGCAACTACCGGTAGGCCCTGCATCTCTTCAACTCGTTCAGGCCTTCCCTTCACTACTCCCTGTTCTCACGCAGCATCTGGTGTCTAGATACATTCCAAGGACCGGCGCAGAAAATCCGTTCAAGTGCGGCTAGGAGCTGAATAACCGAGTACCTTCCGCACGCGTTTTTTTTTCCTTTTTTTTTGGTTCAAAATTTGGACCATTTCTTGTCGTGCGTGCCAAACGACCACTCATAATTTACTTTCCATTATTTCCCTTTTACCCCTCTCGCGTCTCCGATTCCTATCTTCTTTCTGTTTTTTCCCTCTTTTTTTTTTCTTTTTTTTTTTCACGGGCCCAGCGCCCCAGGCAAAATACATGTGGCTATTTTGTTTTTTCTCGTTGTTTGGATTAGTTTAAGACCATTTCTGTATTATGCATTTCATCCTCAACGCAGGGGCCATGCTAATTTTCATTCTCTGTATCGCTCCCATTTTCACGGATGTCTCGAAGAACGACTCCTCGTCCGTTTGTGCTCCTCTATGCATGCGCCTTTCCTTCTTTCCTACTTTTTTTTTTTTTTTTTTTTTTTTGACAGAGTAAAAATTACACAGACAGCATTCCGGAGATGGTAAGATGGTGAGAGCATCTCCTCTCCCAATGACCCACAACCGTGCGTTCTATTGTGGTGGAGATGACAGGGGTGAAAACCTTTTCTTCATGACCAGAGAGAGCCACACAAGCGCTTCATCGGTACACCACGTCCGCAAACTACTGTAATTTCCTTCCCGCGTCAATTGAGAAGAGTCCTCGTGTACAAATTCCGCTCCGCCCGAAGTGCGCGGAAATTCCGCCCCAAACTACATTCCGGCCCCCCCGGCCATCCTGAATGTACCGGACGCCAATTCCGTCCAGGAATCAGTCCAAAACTCCACGTGTACAAATTACAACTGGGCGGGATTCTTTTTCTCTCTCCTCCCCCTCCCCTCCCCTCCCCTTCCCTCGGCCCCCCCTCCCCCCCAATCTCAGAAAATGGCGACGGCCTTGAGGTATTAATACCATTATACAATTGAACTGACCCGCTTCAGGTACAGAATTGTTTGGTCATTTCACCGAGGGATTCGAAGTCAGGACCGCATTTCGACAAGTCATGGGTGTACCTACTACCCGTCTTCACCCGAATAGAACGACTGGTCATTATAGCTGTATCTGGACTCGAAATTGTACCAGATACGGCTATAATGACCGGGCGTTCTATTCGTGTGAAGACGGGTGGCTAAGTTAGTGTTGGCGGGATTCCGCCCACGACTAAATTCCATCCCGCCGCGGCCCGTCACCAGGATGTATCTGACTGCTATTACGTCCAGGATGCATCTGACTGCTATTACGTTCAGGAATCAGATGAAAAGCCCACGTATACAGTTTAGTAGTGGGCGGGGATTCCGCCCGCAACTAATTCCGTCCCGCCGCGGCTTGTCCTGGATGTATCTGACCGCAATTACGTCAGGAATCAGTCGAAAAGTCCCACGTGTACCAATCTAATAGTGCGCGGAGCTTCCGCCCACAATAAATTATGTCCGCCGCGGGGATTCCGCCCGCAACTAAATTCCGTCCCGCCRCGGCTTGTCATGGATGTATCTGACCGCAATTACGTCAGGAATCAGTCGAAAAGTCCCACGTGTACCAATCTAATAGTGCGCGGAGCTTCCGCCCCCAATAAATTACTGTATGTCCGCCGCGGCCCGTCCTGGATGTATCCAACCTCAATGACGTCCATGAATCAGTCGGAAACGTCCTGCACGTGCAAGTATCATGCCCTCAGAAACTCGAAAGCGGATAGACTGACGGCCAGTCTGTCCCCTCAACCGCTGCGCGCGACGATTCCAGGCGAATATCCCCCCACCCCCTTCCGGACCTCCCGCCTCCCCCTGGCCCCCTCCGCTCGCCGCGCTAGGTTCCCGCCGCCGCCAAACATCCGTCTTCATCAAATAGAACACGTGATCATTTTGACCGTCCTAAGCCCAACTTTCGCGCCATAGAGTGCCAACTCATCATGAGCATCTCAGCGCCGTGGTTACAAACCCCCCTTAAAGAATGGTTTGCATTATAATCAGGTGCGTGGAGCGTCTCGCCGCCTTCCTCCTCCCCTTCTTGAGGAAAGGAGGACTCGGAAAATGACGAGGAAAAAATGGGCACATAATGGATGACAAGCAGCATCACGTGCGTACGACGTCCGCATTGCGTCAGGGCATCAGCGCATCCCGAGAGTTGGCTTTCTACACCAAAATCAGCTGTGCGTGTATTCCCCCTCCCCCCCCTCCCTGAATTGCTCTTCCCTTCCTCCCAAAACACTATACTTCCTCTTGTCGCCTCCGAAAATTGCGTGCCTTCTCCTGTCTTCCAACCTCCCAATTCCCCGAAAAATTCGAACAATTACATCCCAATCTTCCTGTTTCCGTCCTCCTCCTCCTCCTCCTCTTCCTTCTCCTCCTCATCCTCCTCCTCTTCCCCCTCCTCCTCATCCTCCTCCTCTTCCCCCTTCTCCTCCTATCCATCAAATACAGTAATGACAAGACAGCCGTTGCGCTGTCACCTTCGCCCTCCCCGCTTCCATCGCCCTGTGAAGCTGTTTGCGATACCAAGGCACGCCTTGCTGGAACACCTCCCACTCCCCACTACCATCTCCCATCTCATGCCAATTGCTTCCCAGCCGCTCCAACGAAGTCTGAAAGTCTTGCACGGTCGAGTTCCGCTGGCGCTGCTCTGTCTCGCGGTGATTAAGGAGAGCTTGTGTCGCAAGGCACGTGTCAGAAGCCCGACACGTGCCTACGACTCTACCACAAAAATATCGCGCCCGCGGATCGTTCCCCTGTCCTTAACTCATAGCGTCCCCTTTCATCCAAACCCCTCGCCAATGTGTCCGTAAATGTCTGCGTGTGTTTGGGCGGCATGGGTAGGTGGAAGAGAGAGCGCGAGAAAAAAAGAAAGAGAAAGAGAGAGAGAGAGAGAGAGGAGATGAAAAATGAGCAGCAAGTAAAAACAGGAGCGAGAGTCGAATGACGACATCACCCAGAAGCAAAGAGGAAGAAACAAGAGGAACGAGAAGTGTAAAACATACAAGAGGCGGTAGCGCTTTCGTAGGAAGGGGGGAAATAGCTGGCGCGTGGAAAAACTGCGGTCATTGTTCGCGAGGGAAAGGCTGGACGAGAGTGAAGAGAGGGAGAGAAGGAAGGAGGAAGGAGGAGGAGGAGGAGGAGGAGGAATTGTTGCTCCGCCGGTCGGTACACAATAGCTCCATCTCTTCCCACCCCCACACCCCGGTAGTCAAGTCAATCTGCGCGAGGAAATTCCATCCCCTACCTCTTCTTTAGAAGAATTGGCCGCCGGGGCGCGGGGAGGCGGAGGCCGGGGGCGGCGGGGGGGGGGGGGAGGGCAGGGAGGGAG